GCACCGACGTGGCCCCGGCCGGGGCGTGCAGCCGCCGCGGCCCTTCGGCGGGGAGACCCGGCTGCGCCAAGGTTGCCCCAAAACCGCCTCCTCTTGCATCGATGGCTTCGTCTGGCGTCGTGGTAATTTTGCTAACTACCGCGAAACTGGCACAAAGGAAGGGGGAACCGCAAATTGCTCTGCGTTTCCCCAAGAGCCTCCTCTCGAAATGTGGAGGAGAGGTAGGGTGCCAGGGAAAGGCAGTTAAGTGCAGGGATAATTACGCTCGGAATACTTACGAAGGGTCTGCTTTTATTTTTAAATAGTCTGGGGAAATTTCCCAACAAAGGGATCCCCCCGAAGACCCGTGAGGCTGAGATTGCCCTCTCCCTCCCTACCCCCATCCCTTTTGTACAGAAATCTGGTTCGTGTGGAACAGGAGTTTTGAACGGGGACATTTAAAGAGTGGGGGAGTCTTTGTCTTGAGTCATTCTGGCAGGGAGGGAAGGGCTGATTTCCCAACCAGTCGCTGTCTTCCAGCACGACCGAGCTGCTGTAGGGTGCCATCCGGCCCCCTGGCACATCTCTTGTTACCCCAATCTCCCGAACGTGTTCACGGGGGAAGGTGTAATCTGTGGGGCTGCTCTGTCTGCGAATGTACAGTGCCTCGCCCCTGTCATCTGGGGCTCCCTGAAGAGAAGGGATAAAGCCTTTTAGGTTTGCAAACAATAGTGAGCTTAAAGAGCAAAATGGATTGGAAAACCTGTTGGTGTTTTGTGCCAGTGCTCTGTGGCACAGAAGCCGTAAGCCTTCCCAGAGTGGAGCAGGGAGCCAGGTTTGTGTCTTTCTCCAGGCAGGTTGTCCCCATCAGGGAAAACCCCGGGCACAGCTGGCAAAGGTCCTTTAGCCACGTTTCAGTAGGAGACCCACGTCCCCAAATTCAGGCAGACCTCCGCCTCCTCCACGGAAGGCAAAGCGCGCGGGGGGAGCTGCCACGTTCCCACCCCACCAGTCTGCCAGCGAGGGTTGGCCCCCGTCCCCATCGCTTGAACGCTGCATTTGCTCTACGGAGGGAGGGGACGGACCTCGTGGTGGTTCTAAAATCTGTCAGCCGAAAGGACCACGGCTGGTACTACCTGTGCCGAGGGGAGGGCGTGTTGCCTATTCTGCCCAGGCTGCTGGAAACTTTCTAGTATTGCTGCGCAGCTGGTGATGATACGGAGGATTTGGGTCCTTGGCTGTGATCTCTCTGCTGTCCTAACAGGGAGAAGTGTAGGGGTGGGAGGTGAGTGGCAGCTCTGAGGGACAGCTCAGTTCCTGATCTAGTGAAACCGGTAGTCCTGGTGGGTTGTGACAGCTCGGGGGGGCTGGACTCAGTTGGCCAGGCACCCCTGGGCACGTGGAGTCCTACCTCAGTGGGACATCAGAAGCGGAGACACAGACTGTTGGGAATTTATAAATCAAGCCCTGTTTTGGTGAGTAGCTTTGCTCGGCGGTTTAGGATCTGTTCCAGTCTGGAATAATTCAGCATGCTCTGGCCTTGCTCCTCCAGTCCTGCAGAATAGGAATAGTTAAAGCCTGAGAGAGAGCTGGAGGGACAGAGTGCGATTCCCCCGCTTCCCAGGATCCGGAGCCTCCTCAGACCCGCGGGATGGCTGAGCGCACCTCATCAGGCTGCTGGGCAGCACAGGTCCGCTGGCAGAGCGTGGAAACATCTCTCCAGACTCAAGGGTATCTGAGCCCCTTTGCTTTTGCAAGTAGGAAAACGATGCGGTTAAAAGCAGGGGGAGAAGGGAGGGAATTGGTCTCTTCCCTCTCTGTGTCCCCCCAGGTGCCTCTCTGCATGGGGGCTATTTAATTTTTTTTTTTCTCTTCTGCCTGCTTAAAAGATTCCTTGTTAGCATTGTGTCAACGAGCCTGAGATGAGGGAGTATAAATCAGGGTGGATGAAAATTCCCTGTAGTCAGTTTTTCCTTGGCCTATTCAGTGCCATAAGGAAATGTTCATTTAATTATAGGCATCAGGGGTAGAAATAACTACATTAAGCCCTCAAGGGGAAGCTGCTGGTGATGAGCTGTGGATCAGAGCACACGGAAGTTGTTTCCACTCGTGCGGCGTGGGAAGAAGCTCCGGCATTTTGTGGGTACCTGAGTGAGCAGCAGCAGCGAGGGCGGCTCTGCTGCAGGGCCAGGGGCAGAGGGGCTGCGGGGAAGGTGCATCCCGGCCGCAGCTGGCAGTCGAGTGAACTTGCTTCCCGTCCTCGCTGGCTGTTGAAACACGTAATCCCAAAAGAATGGAGAGAGGCTATTTGTCAGCCACACGAGCGCAGCCTGCGCAGAGGCAAAGCAAACACGTGCGCTGGTTTGTTCAGAGGGCCAGGGATGCTGGCAAGGAAGATACACCCTGCTGGGGCTCGGGTCAGCCCCGCGCTGTCCCTGGGCCTGGTTAAGCCCCACTGGGGTTGCCAGGGTTTGGATGCACGTTCTTGTTTTGGGGATAATTTTTTGCTGTTGGGAAGCCAGCTTTTCAGCCTTCCCTCTGTATGACAGCTGCAGCTGCTCTTGGCTCTTCCCATCCCGCCTGTTCGTTGTGAAGGTAGTCAGGACCCATACGTGTGCCCAGGGACTACCAAACCTTTGCGTGAAGTCGTTTGCCTAGGATGCGTGGGGTTGTTTGGAGAGTGGAGGAGCCTCCTGGGGCTGAAACCGCTGAGCAGCGTGCCGCAGGGTGGTCGCCACTGCTCTGCTGCAGGGGCTGGAGCAGAGCGTAACCATTTTGTGCCCAGTGTTGTGCCCGGTGAGTTTTAAAGACCTTTTGGGGTGTAAAAAGCTTCTGCTGTATTTTGATGGGTGACCAGATCTCGAGGGAAGTCCCTCCTGCATCTGCAGTAGTGCTTGCTTTGCCCGGGCTGGGAAGCTTTAAAGACGAAGCGACCACGAGCCTTTATTTGATGAGCTAAAAATCAGACCAAGCGCCGTGGGGTACGTGGTCAGGTTGGGATGGGGTGAGAAGAGGAAGCACAGGCCTGGTGAGGTGGTTTTTAGCAGACAGATGAAATGCTTTGGGCCTGCAAGAGGGCAAAGGAATCTGTGGGCCGTGGTTTTTCTCTTAGATCAGTGGCTTTCATGTTGTGGCCTGTTAACCCCTGAGGGCCTGTGGGCTGCTTTGGGGAGGTCTATGAAAGGTAACTGAGGGAAGAAAATCCACTTCTTCTGTCTACAGCTGTCTACTCAATGCCGTTTCCCCAGGGGCTGCGTCTCCCCCTCTCCCGGCGCTGGGAACTGCCACTGTCGATGGCGAGAAGCGCGGAGGAGAGCAGACGTTGCAGCAGCAGAGGAGGGAGGTGTGAAGGCTACGAGACGATCTGGGGAGGGAGTGAAGGCAAACAAAACAGTCTGGGAGACTGAAACCAAGCAAGATTGTGACTCGCGGCGCGAGTGGTTGAGCGAAGCGGGAGGGACAGGCAGGCTTGCCTGAGTTGCTGTGACCTGCGTGCGTGCGTGGCGTCTCTTGCGGAGATGGGTGGCGGGGCCTGGAGCAGTCCTGATGGTGCCGATCCGGCGGCAGGGGATGGGACTCCTCTCGGCGCCCGGCTGAGGATGCCCGGCGCCCCTGGAGGTCAGGCCCTTGGTGCATGTGCGCTGACAAAGGGCACATCTGCGATTACCTGCAAGAGCAGGTGCATCTTCTGGCCGTGCTTTGCCGTTTCCCGCGGAGATCCCTGGGTCTGCACGCTGTAAGCGTTCTCTGCTGAGATGCCAAGGGAGCAAATGTTGGCAGCCCTTAGCAAGGTAGCGCCCGCTCAGTGCGTGCAGACGTGCACACCCTCTTTGAGCTCTCTGATTATGCTAGCTGTGAAGGTCTGTGAAACCTTACGGATGCCAGCACAGCTACTGTGGGCTCTGGGATCTCCCTCTGAAGCGCGGTTCCGTTGCAAGGGCTCCTTCAGCTGTGCCTTGTCCCTCTTGTTGGTGCAGGTTGGTAAGGGTCAACGCTCCCCCCAGGCCCAAGTGCTCTTGCTGTTGCTATGTAAAATGTACCGGGGCCATGGGAAGGTGGATGGTCTTAGAGGGACACCCGGTGAGGGACCTGGTTGCTGGCAGTACCGGAGGAGGATGCAGTCTGATCTCGTCTGAAGCCCTAGCTGGAAATGATCTCGGAGATTAGGGACCTGGCTGGGTTTGTAAGTGCTCGAGTGCGGCGTGGGAGAGCAGCGCGTGGGAGCTGGACTGGGAGAGGTCTCTTGGGTGGCGTGTCCCAGCATGGGATGGTCTGTAACTCTGAATTAACACCAAGAAGACGTGGTTGGACACGTGGCCATCCTGTATGCTTCCCCATGGAAGCTATTGAGGGTCTGGAGTGCAGAGAGCACAGGTAAGTGTGAGGAGTCGGCTTGGACATCTCTCAGCTGAACGACATTTTCTTCTCTTCCTCGGCTGTCTGTGTTTGGGATCCTTTTTTGTTATTTAAATTACTCTGTGTTTTGTTATGTTCTGGAAATGGTTTGTGCCGTTGGCTGTAGTGCCCTGGGGCCTCTTTCCTCTCTGCCTCCGGGCCTTGCTCCCCAGCTTTTCCAGGCTGAGGTGATCTGGGGGAGGGAATAGTCCTGGCAGATGCTTCCCTCATCTGGTCATTGTGTTTCTGTCCTAACCAATTACCAGTAAATGACCCATTCCTGACCCAGCACTCCTAGGAAATAACATTCTTGGGTAACTCCTGGGTTTGGGGTGGGCTTGAAAGGAAGGTCAGCGGTAGCAGGGCCAGATGGACGTTGTTGTGACTGCTGCGTCGGCAGTACCGAGATGCTCTGCCCCCCCCTCCCTGTACCCATCATGTAACTGTGCTTGGGTGGCGTGCTGGCTCTGCTGGGTGATGGTGAGAGGCAGGTAAGTCGGAGCGTGTGCGCCAGGCCTTCCCTTCAGCAGCCTGACCCTGCCTCCCTGGCCCCGTGGTGTAGCCACAGCACTCAGCAGGGACAGGTGAAACCAACCTGCAGTTGGGTAGACTGAAGGGCACACCAGCCCCTCTATAGGTCAAGCCAAGGTGGTGACATCTTAAGGGATGTTTGTGTGTTTCCTTGGAGAGAAAATTGAGGTTTGCTTGTTGTCAGTTAAAAAGCAAGAAAAATTTAAAAGGCTGTTTGACAGAGTCAGCCAGGTTCTATTTCACCTCCTCAAATGCCTCCTATTTCAACTGGGTACAGAGACAACTTATTTCCTCTTTCACTTCTATTCAGTAGGCCAGTTGGGAGCTTTTAAACAGCTGCCCTGACCCCTGGAGAGGTGGCTTGCCTCGTGGCAAAGCGCTAAAGTGATTCTTGCTCAACTAATGTACTTTGGGGTTCTTTTAGAACTGTTTAGAAATGTGAAACTGCTCTTATTCTCAGCAGTTTGGGAGATGGCAGATGTTCTTTACTCTGTTGGTTGTTTTTTTTTTTCCTGCTGTTGAGCGAAACTCCCCCATCTGCCTTGTCCAAGGCTGTTTCATCGACTCCTCTGCTGAGCTGAGCAGAGCAAGCTTCACCACTTTGACTTGGAACCATTTTCTGAGGGGCCAGTGGGGTCAGCAACTAGCAAATTCATTTCAACTGTGTATCCTCCTGGCTGGCTCTTTTCCAGTGGCCTTGGAAAGGTAACGCTGCAGTATTGTTTCCTGCTGTGAAATCGCCCCGTTCTGCTCCTTTCAGAGGTGAAGCGTCCCTTGCAAGGTCGGCGTTGCCTCCGCGTGTCACCTCTGGGTGCTGGCAGCTGGAGGGCTCGCAGCCGGCGCGGGAGCTCCCGTGCTGGTTTTGGTGCTCTCTCTCCGCCTTTGTTCCCTCTCCCCCTCCACCTACCTCTTCCACTTTCCTTTCTCACCCCTCCTCTGTCTGTTCTGGGGAGGGTTTTTCCTCCCGTGCTCTCAGCCATGCTGTTTCCCCGAAGGCTGGCTGCCCTCTTTAGCATGCAGAGCCTCATCTCCTCCAGGTTACGCAGAGGTGCCGCAAAAATAGAAATGAGAGACAAACGCCCCATTGAAGCAGCTGGCGAGCCCTGGCTCCGTTCCCTGCTCCCTCCCATCTACAGTCGCAGGGCTTTATTCGTTTGTGTTTCTTTATTCCTATCACTTGATCTGCCTTTTGGAATACAAAATTGGGAGACTGGTGGCTGATAGAAACTCGTCTAATCCCTGCTCCCCATCCTAGGAGGAGAATGGCTAACCACCGATGTCTTGGGCATTAGATTTCCTCCCTCGGCCGTGCTCCCCTGCCTCCCAGCTCAGCTTGTGCTTTGATTTTTTTCTTTGCCTTGGAGTTGGCAGCTGCGTTGAGCTCCTTTATGAGATGCTTGGAAGAGAGAGGGAAGGTGGCAAATCTTGGGTCTGCTGTTTGGCACCCCAAGCTTTTGTCTTTTTGCTGCTGGCGCAAAAGGTGTGATGTGCGGATGCTGTCTGGAGGGATACTGGTTTGTGTGCTGGTGCAATGGGGCTCTTAGCCCTGGGGCATTCAGGCTGGTGCTGGCGTGGAGGGTTCCCCCAGGCCAGCCTCTGCATCCTGTGGCCGTGGATCAGGTGTTGTCTTACTCCAGATGCACCCCAGGAGAAACCTGTCTTGATCAGGCTGTGTCTGTTAATGACTCATTCTTAGGATGAGGTGGTGTAGTTTTATCTCGGTCTGAGGAGAGCAGAGCATCCCAGTAAACAAGATAATGCAGCTTAGGGGGGTTTAACTGGGTAAACACTTCAGAGTTAAATGAGGGTAAGCAAACTGCCAGGCTCTGAGCTTCGGGCATGGATGGGATCAGGTCTCTGGGTACCCAGGTTCACCGGCCGCGGGATGCCTGTTGGTGGGATGGGCTGTGGCTGAGCTCTGGAGGCAGCCCAAACGGGGTGTAGCCCATGGAAACAAGAGAGGCTCGAGCCAGTTTTTGGAGCTTGCGCAGAGCTACGTTTTGAGGCTTTGTCTAGCTGGCTGGGAGACACGGGTGTGTATTGTAGCGTGGCTGGAAAGCCAAGGGGTCGCATCAGCCGTGTTTCTGCTAATGGGAGTTGGGGGAAACCGAGGCACTGCGGTGGATAAAGAGCTGTCGCAGGATCCAGGCAGTCCGTTGCAGTCCCAGCTACACTAAATCTTCCATTTGACCTCGGACCAGCTGTGGTCTCTCCCCATCTTTCTGCTCCCCTGTTCTGGATAACTCTGAGAATAATGTTCCCTCTCCCCCCCCTCGCCGCTCTCTGTCATGTTTGCTTAAGCTGTGAGCTCCTCAGGACAAGTGCTCTCTTTGCTGAGCTGCACGGGGCTCAGCAGTGCTCTCTGTTAGTGATGCAGGTGTCTTGTGTCAGCCTGGGGAGCCCAGTCTGGCCCCATCACCTTGGAGCCCGGTGAGCGCCTCTGAATGCGCCGGGGGCTGGCCTGGGCAGTCCCTCCACATCCCTGCTGGCACACGGGAGACGTGTGGGCTCTTCCTGCCCACTGTGGACTTCAGTGTGCATGCACAGCTCCCGGGGAGCCCGCCCATCCCCAGAGATGCCCAGAGGCACTTCGGTTGGCTCTGTGATGCTGCAGTAGCTTCCCTCCCCTTTGATACTCTGCCTCTGTTGCTGTTCCCTTGTTGTTGTTGCGCTGGCCTCAGCCGATCTTGCCTTGGATCAATAGAACAAAATAAACGAGATGGTGGAGAAGTGCTGAAGCCTGGCCCAAGTGTGTCTGGGAAGGAGTAACCACTATTGGATTTTGCTCGGTTCAGGGGATAGTGGAGGAAGGTGGAGAGGGTTGGAGCAGGCAGAAGGCTTGAGAAAAGTATTTCTGGCTTCCAGCATTCCCAGGACAGCTTTGGTAATCAGCCTGGCAAGTGAGCAGCAAATCCCAAACTTTTTGTGCTAACAAGCCAATGTTTTCAGTGAAAGCACAATCTGCCGTTGCCCCACAGCTCATCTTGGCATTTGCCCTGATTTGAATTTGTCCTTCTGGGACGTGGAGTCGTAGGACACAGCGGTGGGAAGGAGCCTGGCGAGGCTGCCTGGCGTGTGCCCTTGCCTGAAGGCAGTTCAGCTCTGCTTAAATCCTTCCAGGCCACGTGTGTTCCGATCTGCGTGCAGCATCCAGGTGATGTCTCAGCAGTGCTTTGTAAAATCTCTCTGTTTCGAATACTTCAGGACTGTGCAAGCATTTTCACATCTGCATTCCAGGGATATCTCAGGGCTGTTTCTCATAGAGGAGTTTATCCTCACAAAACATTTTGTAATGGATGGTTTTCTCTCTTGTATCAGAAATGTTTGGTGCTAGTTCTCGAGGTGGTGACTTATCACTTTGTACTATTTATTGTCATAATATTTCTGTTATTTCCACTCTCAAGATCACCTAGCTGTACCTACAGTCTCTCTGCACAGTGAGGATGTCTCCTCGCTTTGTGTCCTTGGCTACTTTCATTATCGCGTTCCTAATTTTTGCTCCAAGGTCACTTAGGAAAATGTTAAAGAACAGCAGGTCCAAGGACAGACCTTGAGGAATTCCACTAATAGCCTCCCTCCAGCACAAGCCTCTGTCATTTTTCGTATAGCAAATGCCTTACAGTTTTCCTGCTAATCGGTGTCTTTTCTTGCCTCTCGTGTAATTCTGCACAAGGCACTGTATCAGAGATTTTCCTGAAGTCCGGATGGATTAGATCTGATGCGTTTCTCTTGTCTAAAAGATCAGTTATCAAAGAAAAATAACAAATTAGTCTTCATTTCAGCTCATTCAATTAGTTCAGCTCAGTGACTAGTTCATTAAGAATTGAGAAAGAGTATAAGCTGAGAAAGCGGGAAAACTTGTCCTTTTTTCTTCTAAACTATGAATAAAAATCAGCTGTGAGAGGATGAGATCTTCTAGTTTTAATGCGCTGAAGAACAGAGGGCTAGGAAGCAATTGGTTCAGTTCACCCAAATTAGTTACTTTGCTTGCTTAACGAAACTGTTTTAAATGTAAAACATGTTTTGGTAATCTCATTTTTTTTTCCTTATGTCTCCATATTTCTCATGGTATTTATCGGTTGAATAAAGCCAAGTTCCAGGTGCTGTTTTCTTGCCTTTTGATTGAAGTTCAGTATGCGTGTGAATGTACCTTGACACAAATCGCAATTAAAGTCTCATCTAGGAATCAAGAAGTGTCAGTCAAACCTCCTAATAGATAAAATGGAAATAACAAGGACATAATTGTTTAAAGAAAAGTGTAAAATGCAACCTGCCCCCCTGCCTAGCGTTAGGTAGACGTTTGCTGTTGGTAGATTTTAATTCATACCTGTGAGAGTCAGCCCTTCCTTTTGAAAACAAATGCAGAATTAAGTTCAAGTCAATGACTTAAAAATAGATTTTTCAGCCTGCTGGTTTACAACGTGATTAGTATTGGTGATGTATAGAATTTTGGTTTAAATCAGTCCCCCTGCGTGTAATAGAGCTGCAGATAAGGAGCACTGGGGTGAAATCTTGCCTGGGTGACGGTCGGATAGGGAACTGTCACTGACTTCACAGAATGTCATGATTTGGGTAGGAGACACTCCGCCTCCTCTCCAGGGGGGTGATTAACGAGGCCCCTGGTCTTTTCAAAGAGGCAAAAACCCTCAGAGAGGGTGAACCATCACTGCCCCACTGGAGAGAGGTGCCTCAGGCTGCGTGGCTGCTGGGCACTGACTCCCCCTGGACGTGAATGCTCCTCCGCGTGGCTGTGGATGTTTCCCAAAATACCCCGATTTTCCTCCTCGTCGGAGAGGGGCAGGTCGCCCCGAAGGCGGGTGCGCGCAGCAGGTTGGTTTGGCAGGAGCAGGCTGCAAGAAGACAAGCCCAAGCCCAGTGGGTGTCAGCCCTGTCTCTGATACAGGTTTACTGTCACTTTGCAGGGACCTTGTGCCTCTGCCTTGCCTCCTCCTCGGAGCCAGCTGCCGATGGCCTCACGTCAACATCTCTGCTGGAGTTTGCCATGATGTCCCACCTGGAGGCCATGAATTCCCACGAGCAAACCAGCCCGGAGGCTGCGGAGCCTGATCTTGCCCCTGGCTCTCTGCACGCTGCCCCAGGGTCGGGCTTTGCCAGCGAGGAGAATGAGGAGTCCAAGATCCTACAGCCCCCGCAGTACTTCTGGGAAGATGGGGGAGAGCTCAACGACTCCAGCCTGGACTTGGGACCGGCAACAGGTAGGTTGTTTTTACCCCGTTCTTCCTCCGCACTCTGCAGGGACTCTGGGGAGGTGGAAGGATGCAGGGATCTGTCTTCCTGCTTTGACACAGCTCTCGCTAAGAGGGCTTGAGATTAAACGTCAGCTCTATTTTCTCACCTCAGTGCTTGATGTGTCCCCGGCGAACCCTGAGCAAGCACAGGCTTTAGAAACCAAGTTACAGCTGAGCCTTTATTCCTAAGCTGCTATGAGCTAGGAAACATATTGCCTCCACCTAGTTTCCCATCGCCTCGTGCCCTTCTTTCTCTGTCTCTCTCCCCTTCCATGCTCTCTTCTCCGTCCTCTCTGTTGCTGTCAATTAAGCACAACCTGAAGGTCTCAAGACCCCATCTCAGATCAAGGCTGTCCTGGGGTTTGAGTCAAAGCTGGGTTCCCTGGGTCAAATTCTGATTCCTCGCTCTGTGAATTCGGTGGAGATTTGGCCTGAGAGAAGACAGCAGGTTTTCTCCCTTGGGCAGCTCTCCTGCTGCCTGCTTCCTGGCGAGTCACGGCCAGGATGAGCGAGTTCCATCCGCGCTTGAGCTGCCTTTCCTCCGTGGAGTGTTTTTTGGGATTACTGAGTCCCCTCAGGGGTCTCCCCCCGAGCCCCTCGTTGGCTTTGAGGCGCTCTCAGGGCGAGGGATGGGAGGAAGGAGGAGGAGAATTACAGGGTTTCCAGTAGCTTAGAAGATTATTTCACACGTTCCTGCTCTTAAGTGTCATGTGGGGCATGTATTAAGTGTTACCCAGGGGCCAGGCTTCAGCCTTATCCCTCCTCCCTCGCCCGGCATCGCTGCCTCCCTTTCCGCAGGTCTGACCGAGGTCTGCAACTAGAAAGCACAAGTCTTGCTTTATCTCTGCTTCTATTTCTGTGATCTAAAAAAAGGCCTGTGCTGACCCAGGGCCGAGGGCTGGCGCAGCGCGATGGCTCAGGCGCGCGGCGGGACAGGGGCCATCCCAGTTCAGGTCTCCAAAGCCCTTTTGCTCCGCACCGGTGCTGCTG